TTTTAATCATCTTGAACCAATCTGTCAATTCTCCTCTGACTTCTGACATCAACAAGGCATTTTCGTCCCCACAACTGCCACTCACTGAATATTTTCTTATTTCGGACCATTCTCTGTAAACCCTAGAGATAGTTGTGTGTGAAAATCCCAGTAGATCAGCAGTTTGTGAAACACTCAGACCAGCCCGTCTGCCACCAACAACCATGCCACTTTTAAAGTCACTTAAATCCCCTTTCTTCCCCATTCTGATGCTCGGTTTGAACTTTAGCAAGTCATCTTCACCACGTCTAGATGCCTAAATGCTTTGAGTTTCTGCCATGTGATTGGCTGATTAGCAATTTGTGTTACCAAGCAATTGAACAGGTGTACCTAATAAAGTGCCTGATGAGTGTGTATAATAAATGTAACTGTAACTGTAGATATTTTCTCACTATTCTAAATTAAATGACTACTTTGTTCATATGTGTCTCTGGCAGCTGTTCAGCTAGAAGAGTGTTCCTGATCATCAAATCCATTTTCCCAATTCTGGATTGGCTGCCCAAATACCGATGGAAGGAATGGATCATTAATGACATCATCTCCGGGGTCAGCACAGGACTGGTGTCCACCTTGCAAGGTGAGTTATACTGCAACTGTTGACCCCAAAAGACTGACTCCACTCAGAATTGAACCTGAATCTTTATTAACTTTGTTAAAGTCCTGTACTGAGATAACCTTTGCTCAGCCATAGGCAGGCTTAAAGGCTATTCAGAGACAAAGTGAACACATTTATGGAGGAGAATATAGAACAAGTGGTGGCTGTTTAGTGAAAGTCACGACGTATTTCTTTTGATCAGAGGATATGTATTAGAGGTCTGAATTTAAGAAAGGGCAGGGACACTCCAAAGCCATTGTGCATTATATACTCATATGTAAAAAAAAATATATTTGAAATATATTTAAAAGATATTCTTCCCAAATATATTGACATATATTTGAAATGCTACAAACACAGCTGGGACCTTGATGAACACTAGAACAGACCCCCCAGCTCTGGCTGAGCTGAGACCTAGATGAGCATTTGTGAAACTTCGGCTGTACTGCTCAAAAAGGGCACAAGCCCTTCAGGCTGGAAATTTCTCCTCCTAGACAAGAACTCTGCTGCTACAGGCCTCTGACTATTTATGCACTCCCCCAGCCATCTACTGGGCATCCTCCCCCCAGGGATTGGTCAAGACCACATATATATTCAGGCCGTGGGCCTGCCTCTTCCAGCCCACTAAATTATAGAATCCACTAGAAGGCAGGGGGAAGTAGTTGAGCCTGCAGCCAGTGAAACCTATAACAGCCCAAAGTAATCACCAACTGCTCCACTGACTGCTGAAGAGCCAAAAAACCTAACATTACTTGACCTTTCTAGCAACCTATCTAGGAGGGTGCTAAAACAAAATTCTGTGGACAGTTGAAGCTTCATAGGGGCAAATTTGTTATAAGTCCAAGAGAGACAAGCCTTTACCACTTCCCTTCTGGCCCATGTATATAAATGGCCGGACGGGAGCAGTGTAGGAGCACACCGAAGGACACAGTGGAACATGGATCGCTGCATGGGACCTCTGTGTGAGGTCCTGATCATGTGATCACTGATTGGCCAATCAGTGTTCACATGAATAGTAGTAAGCAAGATGTCACTTCTGACATCATTGCTTACTATGTGTGAAATCTGTGAATGTTCACAGAGATCACATGGTACAGGGGCAATCACAACAGCCTTGTACCATGTGACAAGCTGTGACCAATCACAGCTCTCACAATATTTCTCAATGGCTGCAAAAATTCAGCCAGAGAGAAGGAGAAATTATTGCTTTTACAGCCTTTATGGGTGTAAAAGCAATCAGTGTAAGAAAAAAAAAAATTTCATCACTCCCCACAAGTAGTACAGCATCACTATGGTGACACTGTACTGCTACTAGGGAGACGGTATGTAAATCCCCCCCCCCCCAAAAAAAAAATAATAATATAAAAAAAAATAAAATAAAAATGTAAACATTTTTTGAAAAACTATAATTTTTGGTGTCAAACTAATTTGGGTTATTATTTTTTTACTAAAAAGATAGATGAATACATTTTGGCCAAGATTTATGAAGAAAGATTATTTATTTGCAAAATTTGATAAGAAAAACACTTTTTTTTTCAAAATGTTTGGACTTTTTTATTTATATAGAAAAAAAATAAAAATCCCAGTGGTAAATAAATACCACCAAAATAAAGTTTTATCTGTCTCAAAAAAATGCTAAAAAATTCATATAGATACAGTTTTGCGTGACCGCGCAATTGTCATTCAAAGTGTGATAGCGCTGAAAGCTGAAATTTGGCCTGGACAGGACAGGGGTGAAAGTGTCCAGACTTGAAGTGGTTAAAGTGTGTGATGAAGTAGGTTGTACATTTTAGGGATAAAATACATTACATCCCAGCAATGTTAGCAAGTAAGCTATCTAATATTCAAGAGCGTTGTTTGGTTCTTCAGACAGAGAGATGCTATTGCTGCTAAATTCACAATTTATTCCCAGCCCATTTGAAACTTTCTTTTTACTAATGTAATACAGTCCAGGAGCATAAAAGATATATGAGATTTTTATATACTATTTTGCTGCAGTTTGGGTTAAAATGTCCTGTGCTGGGGGCATACTGGAGATCTGAATGGCCGGTGATCCATGCTTCCTCAGCTTTGTTGACTAGAGCACTGTTCAGGGTGATTGTTGGGCATCTGGAGATCTGGATGGCCGGTGATCCATGCTTCCTCAGCTTTGTTGACTAGAGCACTGATCAGGGTGATTGTTGGGCATCTGGAGATCTGGATGGCCGGTGATCCATGCTTCCTCAGCTTTGTTGACTAGAGCACTGTTCAGGGTGATTGTTGGGCATGTGGAGATCTGGATGGCCGGTGATCCATGCTTCCTCAGCTTTGTTGACTAGAGCACTGTTCAGGGTGATTGTTGGGCATCTGGAGATCTGGATGGCCGGTGATCCATGCTTCCTCAGCTTTGTTGACTAGAGCACTGATCAGGGTGATTGTTGGGCATCTGGAGATCTGGATGGCCGGTGATCCATGCTTCCTCAGCTTTGTTGACTAGAGCACTGTTCAGGGTGATTGTTGGGCATCTGGAGATCTGGACAACTGCATTTTGTAATAATTCAGCCAAGTCATAAATGACATTTGGTTACATTGACTTGGCAATGTTCTTGTTGAAGGCCAGGCACTTGGCGGCCAGCAATATCCTGAAAGAACTAGTTTCAACACCTTATACCAGCGTCAAATGTTTTGATAAGCCAATAAACAGACAACACAACCAGCTCAATCCAAGCTTGCAGGAGGTCACAATAATTTTATATCTTATAATTTGTACTATCCTATTAAAATATCTTACATTTTTGTCTTATCTTATGTTATCTTGATTGTACGGCCCATCTAAGCCAACAAGTGTCCCAGCATGTGAGTTTAAGCTTTCCATCCTAATGTTATAGGTGAAAAGTTCCTTGTCTGGATGTGTACACGTTCGATAGTTGTAGAACAGTGATTTTCCAGAGCTCAGCAGAACCTTCCAGTGATAGAGTAAGATATTCTAGTTTGGGGATTGAGTTGGCACAGGTTATATTACCCCCCTTCATGCTATTACTGTCTGTGTCCTTCTTGTGGAGATCTAACCTTAGGCAGGCCATACATGGGTCGAATTCTGAATGAAAATTGCTGTAGAAAATTGGAAATTTTGTGCATTTTGTAATCCAATGATGCCACCTTTGATTTAGAAATTTGACCAATTAAGCCTTCAATTTCACCTCATGTTACTACAAAAAAGAATTTTCGTGGTTGGAAATCTTTTTTTCTTTTCAGGTCACAGCTCATGCTCATTTCTTTTTTGAATATATTTCTCACACGATTCTCCTATCATTGATTAGCAATTTGTTTGTTTTTCAAAATTTCCAACACGCTTGATTACTTAGATTCGATGCCCACACGAAAATCACCAATTGTTGCGGCGCACTAATGGTGTGAAATTCGAACAAAAATTAATAATTACGATTTCGAAAGAAAATTCATTCAGAATCTGACCCATGTATGGCCTGCATTACAATCAATATATCTGTTCTGGTACCAGCCCTCATTTGGGGGATGAGGATTGGTATAGCTGGCACTCGTCTTCCCGAATAATAAACTTTATTGAGCAAGTAAAACGGCTTACGTGTTTCGGCAATAAGCCTTAGTCGTAGCCATAAAGTATGAGTCAGGACATTACGTTTATATATATACCAAAATACATTTGCTCTAAGTCAGCGGTCACTAAATGGCAGACCGCGGTCTGAAAACGGCCCCAGCAGTGCTTCCGGGCACTCTGACAGGCACATTTTATGTTAAGGGGCACTCTGATGGCACATTTTATGTTAAGGGGCACTCTGATGGGCACATTTTATGTTAAGGGGCACTCTGATGAGCCCATTTTATGTTCCCTTTAGACGTATGCAATTTTATTAAGGGACAGGGTGTTAGAAAGGAGAGAAGCTGTTAACATTTAATGTTAAGGGGCACTCTGATGCCCCTTAACATTAAATGTGCCCATCCATCAGAGTGCCCCTTAATATAAATGTGCCCATCAGAGTGCTCCTTAATATAAATGTACCCATCAGAGTATCCTTTAGCATAACATGTGCCCATCAGAGTGCACCTTAATATAAATGTACCCATCAGAGTGGCCTTTAGCATAAAATGTGCCCATCAGAGTGCCCCTTAACATAAAATGTGCTCATCAGAGTGCCCCTTAACATTAAATGTGCCCATTAGAGTGCCCCTTAATATAAATGTGCCCATCAGAGTGCTGCTTATTTTTTGTTAAGGGGCACTCTGATGGGCACGTTATGTTAAGGGGGCACATATGGGCACATACTGTGGAAAGGGGCACTCTGATGGGGAATATGATGTAAAGGGCCACTCTGATGGGGAAATATGGTGGAAAGGGGTACTTTGAGTGTAAGGGGGAACTCTGATGTGAATACCCGATGTAAGGTGGCACTGTGATGGGGATACCTGATGTAAAGGGGCACTCTGATGGGGACAACTTATGGAAAGGGGCACTTTGATGGGGAATATGATGTAAAGGGTCACTCTGATGGGGAAATATGATGTCAAGGGGTACTTTGAGTGTAAGCGGGCACTCTGACGGCAATACCTGATGTAAAGTGGCACTGTGATGGGGTTACCTGTCATAAAGGAGCACTCTGGTGGGGACAACTGATGTAAAGGAGCACTCTGATGGGCACACCTGATGTGCTGGGAATACATGATGTAAAGTTGCACTCTGATGGTGACACCTAATACAAGGGGGCACGCTGATGGCACACCCTATTTGGACCTGGGCAAGAAGAAAATTTTAGTGACTGGACCTCTTTGAATTTGAATTCAATACCCCTGCTCTGAGTGGTTAGGATTATCCATGCGGGAGGAGGGCACAGCCATAATTCTATCTTTTAATTGGATCATTTCCTTCTCTATCACACTTTGAAATGCCTCCAATGCACTACTTCTTGACTGCACCGGGTAAAAGTACTTCTCCCCTGTATGTGTTCTATCCCAGCTATTTCAATCCTCATCATTCAGTTGTATCTGTGTTGGGAAGACACACAGAGCCAGAGCACTGACATTCCACCTTTGTGGGGATTATCTCTGGGCATAGCACCTGCTTCTTCATGTCTCATTTGGGGGAGTTTGTAATGTCCTATTGTGTCCTGGTGTGCATGAAGTGCATGAAAATTCCTGTGATGTGGATACAAACAGAAATTAGATCCCCAAAGAGGTTATACCCTACTGTATCCACAACTAAAAATTCCTACTGAGAGTAAGAAGTGATTTACCAGTCTAGAAGACATAGATACGTGTATGTAGAAGGTATTTTAGGAAATCTTTAAGGGTAACTGACATTAGGAGCTAAAAACGCCCATGTCTGAGGACAGTTGACCATCACGCCCATACAAGCTTGTTAGATGTCTGCTTCCAAAACCTATGATTTGGACCATCTTTCCATTTGAGTCTACAACAGCCTCTACATTTCACAAAAATGTGCAACGTGTTTGTAAGAATTTTTGCTCAGGTCCTGATGTTGGATGAGAAGGCCTTGCTCGCAATCAGCATTCCAATTCATCCATAAGGTGTTCAGTAGGGTTGCTTCATACCAAACTAATCAAACCATGTCTTTATGGAGCTGGCTTTGTGAACAGGGGCACAGTCACACTGGAACAGAAAAGGGTCTTCCTCAAACAGTTGGGACAAACTTGATAACCTACACAATTGTCTAAAATGTATTTTCATGTTGTACCATTAACAGAATCCTTTACCAGAAACACCCAAAAAAAAAGAGAGGAAGGCGCCTCTAAGTGCAGTATTGACAATTTATTTAGCAAACAAAGGATAAATTGCACTTACAAGATAAATGGTTAAAAAGACTCATCGTGTGGTATTTAGATCCAAGTGGGACATCCAGCCGTCCAGCAGAAAACTCTGTCTATAGGATCAGGAAGTAGAGTCCAGGATGTGCCTGTGCATCAAAATGAAGCTAGGAGAGCAGAGTCGGTCTGAAGAAGGTCTGAAGAAGAAGCCTATTGAGCATGCTCCGAAATGCATTACCGCCCCCTTCACCTCCTACATCCGACTCTGCTGTCCTTTTTTTTATAATTTAAAACAGAGTTCCACCCAAAAGGGGAAGTTCCGCTTTAAAGACTGGTACCCTGCTCCCCTGTAAGGATTGGCACCTTTGGGGAGTGGGGGGGGAGTGGGTACCCAAATCTGCCTAGGCGATCGGAAGAGGAAGTTGTCCCCCTCTATGCCCAGGGGTGCCCATGCATTAAGACAGCCCTGATAGCAGTAATTAATTTGTGGAATGCCTAATTTCATGTGGCAGCAATGGCTCAAGAATTAATGGGTCATTTCCTTACAATTAAAGTGGTTGTAAACCCTCACATATCCCCAGTGAAGTGACTGGCCTCAGGTGATACACAGAGATGAAACAAATCTTCCTACCTAAGTTGTATCTGTCTATCTGCAGTCTTCTCTGCTTTACATCTGTTCAAAGTCCAGAATGTATAAAGCTTGTCTGAGAGTTCAGAAAAAAGGGAATTTACAAACTGCAGAGATCAGTAAGGAGAGCTCCGAGAGCTGATTGGAGGGAAGAGACACACCCCCTTCACACAGAAACAGAGTTGAGGCTGTCAATCTGCTGGCTCTCCCTCCCCTGTCACCATTTTTCTCTTGTTGTCAGGAAAAACTTGTCAGAAGTGAGTCATAGTGACAACAGAGGAATGAAGCTGCAGGCAGAAATGACTCAGTGCTCTGGATAGAGACAAGTGAACACTATAGTGGGATATGGTCTGTTCATATTTTGTATGAGGTTTACATCCACTTTAATGATATCCAAGGGTACAATAGTTAAAGTACAACATAGCAATAGACTGGACAACGCTTGCACGTGTGTGTGTGTGGGGGGGGATGGGGGTGGGGTGGGGTGGTATGGGGGGTGGACATTGGAGGGGGGGTGACAAAACTTGTCAAGGTTTCTCAGGATATCTACAACAGGAGAGAGACCCAGACTGTGTGTGCTATATGTCCACATCCCAAGAAATCATGGACAACTATTGGTTTCTCAGGAGGATTTTTTTGCCTTCCTCTGGAGAAAAACGGCTGCTGAAAGCTGGGAGAGTTTTTTTTTCCTTGCGCAACACTAAAGAATAAATAGAAAACACACCAACACAGTGTGATATCTTCAATAAAAAGTTATTGTATAATAAAATCTTGGCAACACAGCATACTGCAGAAAATCCAGGCAGGTCGAGACCTGCTCAACCATACGGATGTGGGAAATCCTCCACTGTTGATTCCGCTAGGTAGCACATATTGGCTATCTCAAGGGTGCTTCTTGGCTCAGGTATTTCAAGGGCGGATGCTCAGTATGTACACTATATTGACATAAGTATTGGGCCCGCCCTCCAAATCATTGTGATTCAGATGTGTTCCGATCCCCTCCATGGACACAGGTGTATACAATCAAGCCCCTAGGCATGCAGACTGCTTCTACAAACATTGGTGAAAGAATGGGTCATTCTCAGGAGCTCAGTGACTCCAAGCGTGGTCCCATGATAGGTGGTCACCTGTGCAATAAGTCCATTCGTGACATTTCCTGGCTACTAAATATTCCATGCTCAACTGTTAGTAGGATTATAACAAAGTGGAAGCAACTGGGAACAACAGCAACTCAGCCACCAAGTGGTAGGACACGTCACATGACAGAGCGGGGTCAGCGCATGCTGAAGCGCACAGTGCGCAGAAGTCGCCAACTGTCTGCAGAGACAATAGCTAAAGACCTCCAAACTTGGTGTGGCCTTCAGAGGAGCATAACAACAGTGCGTAGAGAGCTTCATAGAATGGGTTTCCATGGCCGAGCAGCTGCATCCAAGCCTTACATCACCAAGTGCAATGCAAAGTGTCGGATGCCAAGGTGTAAAGCATGCCACCACTGGACTCCAGAGCAGGGGAGACGTGTTCTCTGGAGTGACCAATCACACTTCCCTGGCAATCCAATGGATGTGTCTGGGTTTGGTTTTTGCTAGAACGGTACTTGCCTGACTGCATTGTGCCAAGTGTAAAGTTTAGTGGAGGGGGGATTATGGTGTATAGAACTCAGTCTATGAAAAGCCAGGGATCACACAAGAGCCATGGTGAAACTGCGTGCGATTTTAGTATTCCTGTTCAAATCACACGCTATTCTTTGCGCCTATTGTATTGATGCAAATAACACAGCAAAGTATCAGCAAGTACCTGACCAAAAGTATCAGTACCAGGGGCGGACTGACCATTTGGAAACTCGGGCACTGCCCGAGGGCCCGGGGTCAGTAGGGAGCCCCATGAGATGCCCCTGTTACCTTTTTTATAGGCTTTTTTGAGTTTGGGCAAGGACACAGGGGCCCCATGATCCCCTATTACCCAAAGGCCCCATGAGTTGTCAGTTCTCCCCTGACCAGTACTCATATTCGCCAATAAAAAAGGGTATCTGTGCATCCCTAGGTAAAACAAATGTTAACGCCTAAGCACAATTTTGCAATTTTGACATGTGTTAGTAAAACCATACATATCATCACAGCTACTTTGTGCATCCGTAAGGATTATACTTTGGTTTTGTCAGGATTAATTTTTTTATTATCAGAGCAAAACTTGCCAAAAATAGTAAAAAAAATCTTTTTTTAAAGTTAGCTAGTATAATTCCTGCTACTACCATCACCAAAGAACAACCCAAAATAAATTTTCCTGCTGCTAACGATCGCAGCGATACCAAATATTTATTTATTTATTTATTACAGGTACTTCTATAGTGCCGTCAATTTACGCAGCGCTTTTACATATATATTGTACATTCACATCAGTCCCTAACCCTCAAGGGGTGTACAATCTAAGGTCCCTAACTCACATTCATACATACACATACTAGGGCCAATTTTAGACAGGAGCCAATGAACCTACCAGCATGTCTTTGGAATGTGGAAGGAAACCGGAGTACCCGGAGGAAACCCATGCAGGCACAGGGAGAACATGCAAACTCCAGGCAAATATGTGTATGTTAGTTTGTTCTCGTACTGCAGTCCAGAAACAATACTATGCATTTTGCTTTTTTTTAATCCTACCTAAAACACACTGACACTAACTGACATCACTGACACTGATCTGATACTAATTAAAAAAAAAAAATAATATTGACCCTGGACTTGACCTAGATCAAACCTTGAACTAGGTATTTTTTTTATTTAATTGTTTTTTTATTATTATTATTATTATTATTATTATTATTTTACACACAGTTGTTTTTTTTTCTTTGCAAGGAGAAAGAGAAATACAATGGGGTTGATTTATTAAAGGCAAATAGACTATACACCCTGCAAGCGCAGTTGACCTTTGTAAATGAGGTAAAGCTTCACTTTGCAAAGAGTACCCAATCACGTGCAAGGAAAATAAAAAAAAATGCATTTTTGCTTGCACATGATTGGATGATAGAAGTCAACAGAGCTTCTGCTCATTTTCTAAGTTCTAGAGCCGTGGTTTCCAAACTGCGACCCGGGGGCCAGCAGATTGAGCCCTTTGCTTGCCTTCATCCGGCCCTTGAGGCATTATTCCTGCCACTGACACCAACAAAGGGCATAATTCCTGACACCAACAATACAGCGCTATTCCTCCCACTGACAACAACAATACGGCACTATTCCTCCCACTGACACCAACAATACGGCTCTATTCCTCCCACTAATATATAAAAATGATGCAGCGCTAACAGAAAACACATATAATAAACTAAATATGATAGTAGATAACCCACATCCACCGG